GTTCACAAAAATTATTCAAGACTTACTTTGAATTGATAGTTGTTTGTATATTATGAATGAACAGATGATACATGCTCATTTTATATGCACACAACACAAAGACACAAACCATGTGATCGATAACGATATGAACATGTTTTCATTATGTTTTATTGGTTACGAAAGGTCAACGTTTTCATTTTTCAACACCGTCGCTAATGAATTCGTTTGATGGAAACAGAAAGAAAGAAAAAATATGGAAAAGAAAAAGAATAATCGTGACAGACGGGCAAAACAGAATGACTGAATAATTTTTCTTGTTGTGACTGGCTCATGTTGTGAAATGTATCACTTCATTTCTGATTATTTTCGATTTTATATGTAAAGACTACTGCCTATAATAACATTTTATTTATTATTTGTCAGAAAAACGACATATTGAAAATAAATAATTCCATTTTTAAACGGAATAAGACGAGAAGGGGTGGGTGTGAGAGTATCAGGATCAACTAACACATATTCTATTTATTAAAATATTAAACTTTTCGATCGTAGTTTTTCAATTAAGAATTGCACATAAGTTTCCATATGTATCAACATAAAATGTTGAAAAGCATGATCCACCAAAAATTATAATTAACCATAATGTATACTGTGTATTAAACGATACCAAAACCATTCGCAAACATATATAATCCTGAAGAATACGAATATGACGGTAGTAGGGGTGTAAATATAAAAGGAATATGTTATCTACAGCATATATTCTAATCAAAGATATTTACTCATTCCTTCACAAAACGTAGTCACTACAAGTAAGAAAGCAGTATGGTCGTATGTAAAATATGAACAATATTCATTGACAATATATTTTTCATTTTCTTCCAGAAGTCAAAGAATCAGATTTCATCAGATATATATATCTCAATGTCATCTTTAACTTATCAAACATTCAGCTCTCTGACCGAAACTAATGTTAAAATATCCTACTTCACCGTCGTACTTACTTTTACGTTTCAACTGTCGCATCGAAATTATTTTCACTTCAAAGCAACGCAAATGCAATACAAGTATCTCGCATATTCTAATCAATATGGATACACACAACAAAATACTTCACATACTTATATATTTCTTATTGACACATGCAGCTACTCTGGTTATAATCTAATAGAAAATTTTTCCTCATTCGTCTGACAAATAACTTCAATCTTATGCATGATCTTCTGTGTGCAAGTGAATTTATTTTCTTTAATACAACATAGCAAGCTTCCATTCTACTTCTACGTTTTATTTTTTGAACAAAAGAAACGTTTACAACAAATTATTTGAATAAACAAAAAAAGTTATTGTAAATCAACTTTGAAGCCAAAACTAATACCAACAACGATGATGACGACACCATTCTTCACGACGCCAGTCATATTGTTGAACCCAATAACGTTTGCTCATTTTTGGAACATATCCAGAATCCTCCACTACTTGTTCTCCATTTGGAAACATCTTACCCCCCATTGAATTCATCTCTTCCATGCCATTAGGATATACGACATTAGAAGTAACTAATGCAACAAGTGCAAATATTGCGACGATAATTATTGTCCAACGCATTTTTGAATTAATAATCGTTAACTGCAAAAATCAATCAATTTATATATGTTCACAAAAATTATTCATGACTTACTTTGAATGAATAGTTGTTTGTGTATTTTGAATGAACAGATGATACATGCTCATTTTATATGCACACAACACAAAGACACAAAGCATGTGATCGATAACGACATGAACATATGCTTCCATTGTGTTTGATTGGTTGAGAAAGGTGAACATTTTCATTTTTCGGCCCGTCGCTAACGCATTCCTGTGACGGAAAAAGAAAGAAAGAAAGGAAAAATATCGACGAAAAGGAAAAATCATAACAGACGGCTAAAATAGAATGACTGAATAATTTTTCTTGATGTGACTGGCTCATGTTGTGAAATATATCACTTCATTTTTCATTATTTTCGATTTTATATATTAGTTGTTACAAAAAAAAGAAATATGAAAAATAAATAATTTCATCTTTAAACGGAATAAGAGGTGGAGTGAAAAAAATACTACTGATGTTTGGATTCACTTTCTGCTATAATTGTGCATATTGAGCTTGATAATATTGATTCAAACTCTGAAAAAGGCCGCCGTCACTTGCTAAAGCCAGAAGAAATATAAATTTGCATATTGAAACAAACTGTAAAGCAACATTTAGTTTCGATGTTCATTATAATTTATATTTACTGTTTATTTATTTAATAAAATTTATAATTTCTTAAATATTATTTCTTATTAAGAAATTTTAGCTTTTAATACATGTTCTAATGATAAAGAATGAAAATATTTGGATGGAATTTTGTATAAAAAAATCAATATAGTTATCTGATTTTAGAAATCTGAGGTGTATATTTCTCGAGAATGATTTGTGATTAGAAATTGGTTCAGATGTAATCATAATAAAAAAATTCAATTTGATTTTCTAACAGAGTTCCTATCATTTACACCGTGTTATCTTTAAAAAACAACTTTCAGTCATTTCTATCCGAGTATATTTTCATGTATTTGTGCGTTTTGAAGATAAGAAAAACGCGTTTTACTGAATTGATAAGAGTGATGAAAGTTTTATAACATTGTATTTCATTACAAGTGAAATAAAGAATTCATCTTGTATTAGAGAAAAAAAACAGAATTGAATAATGTCATTTCTAACTGGTTTCTTTGCGCTTCTAACAAAATTCATTTTAATTCTGGCCATTGCCATTCCAATACGTTATGGATCAACAGATTATCGACATCTTAGTATTCGTTTATTTCATTCTCTATTATCATTGAAATATTCTTTTATACCGGATCAAACTCGACCAACACTCAGTGCAGATTATCGTGCCTTTGAAGCTCTGATTCGTATGCGACCAATACTAAACCATGATTCATCATTAGATTCATTTGATACAATAAAGAAAATACGTTCATCATTTAGTGAAAGTGCAGTTACTCCAAAACCATCTCAATGTGAAATTAACAATGAAATAATTGATTATAATGGACATTCCGTAAATGCTTATTGGATTAATTATCCTTCGAAAAATTTTGAAAAAAAATCTGATAAATTAATACTTTACTTTCATGGTGGTGCATACTTTGCTGGTAATATTCAAGGTAAATAATTTCATTTTGTATAAGAACAAAAAATATGTGTACAATTAATTTATTTTATTTTGATAGTTTACGATGGATTTGAATGTCATTTATCTAAACTTTTCAATGCAACTATACTTCATGTAGAATATCGTCTTTGTCCTGAACATCCATTACCTGCAGCAGTTGATGATTCCGTAGCAATCTATCGTGCTCTTCTTCATCGGAATGTTTTACCATCTCAAATAATGATTATGGGTGATTCAGCTGGTGGTGGTCTTTCTTTGTTAACCATTCAAGCATTAATTACTAATGAATTACCCATTCCTCGTGGTGTTATTGTTCTATCTCCATGGACTGATCTTTCAGGAACTGCAGAAAGTTATACACGTAATCAACATACTGATGTAATGATTCGTTTCGACAATCATAAATGGTTGATAGAACAATTATTAGGTTCTAATCAATCGGAATTATCTTTTGATAATGCTATTTTTAGTCCTCTGTTCGGTTCATTCGAAAAATTTCCACCAATGTACATTAATGTAGGTACAGCAGAAATATTAGAAGATGATTCAAAACGATTATTGAAAAAAGCAGAAGAAGCAAACATCGATGTTACTTATGAAGAAGGTTTACATTTGATGCACGTTTATCCACTGTTTTTTCTTTACTATCCTGAAGCACGAGACACACTCGATAATATCAATAAATGGGTTCAAACAATATATAATCAAAAACTGATTGAATAAAGATAGATTAAACATAGTATCAAATTACAAATTTGATTGACATTGCGAAAAATCTGATAAATATATTTTTTTGTCATATAAAATATCAGTGATAAAATGATTTTAGTATTATATGATGTTGATTCAATATTTATTCTAAACAATTTTTTTAATAAATAAATAAAGTTAGTGGTGTAACCAGGAGTTAGCGGGCGATTGGGCGGCATTTTTAGAAAGCAAGGATCTAATAATATAGCAAAATTTTTAAAATAAATCTTTGTTAAAACTTATGCTACGTGTAATGCTCGATTCAACGAGAAATTGTGAGTATTTTTTGAATAATTTTTGATAGAAATATGGTAGAAAACTGCAGTTTTCATCAGTCAAAGAAAATATGAGAACACATCAAATTATATTGATTTATAAATTTTTGGATTCGTTTTATACAAAAATGCTGAAAAAACAAAGAAAACCGGGTTTCTTGTAGCGAATCGAGTGAAACTCTCGAATACAAACATAGCTCCCTGATTGTTGACTGATGCCACTAGAAAATTTCAAGAAACTTCAGCAGAATTTTATTAAAATCTGAATACAATACTTGTAATTTATATCTGAAATGTACATTAGAACTACAAGTACAGAAAGAAATCATTGACAGACGTTTCTCTGTTACAAAATACAATTTGTGATAGATAATACACTTTTTCCACTGATCAACGTAAAATAAATTGTGAAACGAAAGATCAAATCGTTCTTCATTACATATCTGTCTCTCTTTACATATGATAGGACTAATCGCAATGATCTTTCTCGCTTCTATATTCTCGTACACAATGCATTGACCTTTTCTTTCTCTAAAAAAGAAATATCAACCACGTGCTTTTACTTTACTTATTCGTTAGCAATTTCTTTTTCTTTTTCTCTTCTTTTCCTTTACTTGTCGCAACGTTATCAACGGTATATTTTATTTTACATATATCTATACACGATAAAATGTGAAGAAAAAGCTTCTATTCTTTTGTTGTATTCACATTCGGTAGGCAAATAAAACACACTCGTGCTAGTAATATATTAATAATAAAAACTTGTAAAGTATTTTACAGTCGTTCACATAAATTATGTCAAACAAAGAACTACTTCATATACCACTGGACAATGGTGTCAATCTTGCTTATCGACTTTCGCATCCGATTGATAAATCATTACCAACTATCGTTATGCATCACGCATTCTTGATGAATTCACGATTCTATGATCGTCAATTTAAGGATAGTCGATATGCAGCCTATAATTTAATATCAATCGATGCACATGGTCATGGTGAAACAACAGGTCGTGGAAAAGATTTTACATTTTGGGATACAGCTTCGGATACATTACAACTTCTTACTAAACTTGATATTGATCAATTCTATGTACTTACTTGATACTGCAGTGGATAGTGCTCCAGAGCAAACAAAAACCAATGCTGGAAAATCTCGTGATAAATGGTGCGAAACAGAGATTCCTTCAGACGAAGCAATAGTTACTCGAGCTGGATCTTTTGGTGGTCCTAAAAATGTAGACGAAAAAGTCTTCGAAAAACTTAAACAAATGTGGATTAAACGGCATGCTGGTGCCGAAGGTTATGATCCAGCATTGAATTGTCTTCTTAATCGAGATGCAATCGAGGATCAACTTGATAAAATCAACATTCCAACATTAGTTTTACATGGAGCGAATGATCGTCTATTTCTAGCAGAAGATGCAAAAAAGTGGAGTTCAAAATTATCGAAACTATGGAAATTCACGATAGTAGAAGGAGGTGTTCATCATCTTTCATTAACAGAACCTGGTAGTGAAGCTCTTGCTCAATTACTTCCACAATTTATAAATGAAACATTATAGAATCGTCTAAGCAATTAATTAATATAAAGACTTTACTTTTAATCTTTTTGTGCAACATATTTTCTCTACACATTTGGGATGAATATTTAATAAAAACAATGTATTGATTCATAGTTATCATAATTGAAGATAATGATATTGAGTCTAGCAGTAAAATTTAGTCGCTGTTTTCTCTAAACTACTATGATTTTACAGCTGTCAGAACAGTTGCTAATTACTGAACCAATTTCTTCATTAAAGATATATATATACACTGTGTTTATTTTTTTTTCTTTCACAACTTCTTTCTTGTGTACTATTTGTTTGTCTTTTTAACAAATACTTCAATCATATAAATAATTCGAATAAATACAAATTATTCATAAAGTGATCGCTTTTGTACTTAATAATCAAGAATTATTCATTTTCTACAAAAAAAATGATTTTTACTTCAATAAATATATCTTCTCGAGGTTATCTACATGAATAAATTTCGTAATTCGTCTCAATTCAATGATATACACTTTGAAAAGTATTTTATCTCTGAAGATGGATATGGAGTGGATGACGATGTCTCTTCTCTTTATCTACTCATTTTATTTTGATTCTTTTCAAAAGAAATTAAACTAAAATGGACCATCACAAGATCCATGATCCTATAGTGAAATATATAAGATCATAGTTGCTTTATACACCATAACACTCAAGTCGATATTAGAAGATGTCTCGTTCGCTGCGAATAATCTATTCTAACATTTCTACCGATAAACTCTTCATACGTCGAACGACTACTCACTATTCCGTCCCGATCTACATGAAAAAGCGAGAACCTGCACAGAAACATTTCCTTATCAATCGTGTCAGAATGACAAAAAAACACGGCGAATAGAGAAGCGACAAACATATAGAATATGAAGAAAACAACAGTATCGCATAACAACGAAAAAATCATACAACGAACCATCGTATATGTAACAAACGATACCACAATGATCAACAAACATGATCCTTATGAATACTAATACAGATGTATATGTAAGTATGCAGTGTGGGTGAAAAAGCAGCGTCATTGTATTTAAAATACAAATGATGTTCATTGTCAATATGTTAAAGTTTCTTCACACACTACACCAACGAAGTACTTCATATACTCTAATTATAATCCAGTAGAACGCTCCAGATGTATGTAATCATTTACATTCGTCTAACAAATAAGTTCAGTAATAACTTCATTCTTCTTTAGACACATGAATTTATTCTAATGAATACAATGCAACTTTCATTCTATTCTAAACTTTTATTTTTCAAACAAAAAAATGTTTACAATAAATTGTTTGATTAAACAAAAGAATCTATTGTAAATCGAATTTGAAAGCATTATTACCACCAACGATGCTCTTCTTCATGTCTATCACGACGCCAATCATGCCACCAACGCTTGTTAATTGTTGGACCATTTGTAGAATCCGCCACCACTTGTACTCCATTTGGATTCATATTGGCTCCCCATGGATTCATCTCTTCCATCTCTTTATCGTATACGACATTAGAGGTAACCATTGCAACAAGTGCGAATATTGCGACGATAACTATTGTCCAGCGCATTCTTGAATTAATAATCGTTAACTACAATAATCAATCTATTTATATATATATTCAAAAAATTTATTCAAGACTTACTTTGAATGAATAGTTGTTTTCGTATTAAGAATGAGCAGATATATGCTCCTTTTATATGCACACAACACAAAGACACAAAATATGTGATCGATAACCATATGAACATATGTTTTATTGGTCAAGAAAGGTCGACATTTTCATTTTTCAACCCCGTCGCTAACAAATTCGTATGGTGGAAAAAGAAAGTAAGAAAAATATAGAAAAGAAAAAGAATAATCGTGACAGACGGATGAAATAGAATGACTAAATAATTTTCTTGTTGTAACTGACTCATGTTGTGAAATGTATCACTTCATTTCTGGTTATTTTCGATTTTATAGATTATTTGTTACAAAAAAAGGAAATATTGAAAATAGATAATTCCATTTTTAAACGGAATAAGACATTCGTTTTACATGTTCACTATAGTGTATATTCACTGTTCATTTATTTAATAAAATTTATAACTTAACAAACATTTTTTTATGGAGAAATTTTAAGTGTTAGCAATGTTATAATCATAAAAGAATGAAAACGCTTCGATGGAACTAATATAGAAAACATGTGTTTGTCTGATTCTGAAAAACTGAGATGTACATTTTGACCTCACATCGTTCTTCTGACTGGAACTATCATCTGTTGCACTTATAATAGTTTTGTATATTTCTCCACAATGATATGTGATTAGAAATCGGTTGAGATGTAATAATAAACAAAAAATTTTACTTGATCTTCCATGAAATCTTCATTCGCTCATTTTTAATCCGAACAATTCGTCAAGTTTCACATCTACTAGTAGGGTGTGAGTATGAGACTATCAGAATCAACTAATACCTACTCTATTTGTCAAAGTGTTAAACTCTTCGATCGTAGTTTTTAAAT